AAAACAGCGTATTAGAGACAGCATGACAGAAATGGAAGAGGTGGCTGTTGTGTGGGAAAAGTGTGACAACAAACACAGGTAATGATGAAAGAGTGACAGGAGGATCGGGGGTTATCTAATGGGACTTAAAGGAGTCGCAGGTAGAAAGGCGGAGAATGACAGAGGAGTGAACACTGATTTCTGAGGACATGGTGTCTCTTTCTGCCTGACAGCCCTCGGGTCAGAGGTGAAGAGTGAGACTTGAGACACGCACACACACACACACACACACACACACACGCACACGCTCTGGCTGAAAACAGAGACAGAGAAAAGGGAGGTGAAACTTTGCGGGAGAAAGAGCTCCACTCTCCTGTGAAACTGCTGAAGCAACGAAAAAAGGAGCGAAGAAATTGCATTCGACTGAGTTAAGCTAAGTCTTACAAAACTGTTACCCATTCACATAATCAAGATGAAACACAAACTTGAAGCTACGTTTTAACACACCTATCCTTTTTCTCTCAAGTACGTACACAAAGCCTTCTTCTGTTAGCAATCATCGTCTTTTTTCCCCGCTGGATAAATATCATTTGCAAATTGTTACTGGCAAGCATCACATCTCAGCCCTCATCTCATCCACCCAGCAGTTTTGGATTGCTGAGTAAACAAATAACAAAACAAATCTTAATACAGTAGATCTCAAAAGCGATTGTTTTAAAGGTTCTCACCTTCATTGTGGCCCTGTACAATCAAACCATAACTTCAACAAGTCTGTTACGGGGAAAATAGGGAAAAAACTTTTTTTTTAAATTATAAAAAAGAAATTCTGAACATGTAGTGATGAAACTAATGCTTTTGGTTAAATTAGATTGTCTGTTTACACATATAATATCAATTATGGTGAATTTGAATAACCTGCAATAACTCTTTAGCTTAAGCCATAATTTGTAGTGAGGTTACAAGAAAATGAAGATGACATGATTGTACAAAGTTATCAGAGAAAACAAATTAGTATTAGAAATATAGAACTCTTAAAAAATTCTCTAAAATTGATGAAAATAAACAGAAATTGGTCAGGGAGGCCGATTTCATACGAACAGCACTGGTCTTTTTGTACATCACAAAAAAACTTGGCTTGTGCACCTTTTTAAGCTTTTTAAGACTCTACAGTGATGTACTGTCTATTATTAGAGAGGGATCACGTTGATTTGCTTTAATCTGCTATAGAGAATCTCGAAGCACTACTTTCAGACAGTTTTATGGAAGACATGATGAATCATTGACCACAATGTGACATGCAGCTAGTCCTACTCTTGAAAATCTGCAGGTACGGGATGCAGAGTGATGCAGACACTGCTCCCTGTTTTGTGGTGCTGCTCCCTCTCCCCCCCCCCGGGGTACGTAAGCATTCACAATGAAGTGTATTAATTCAGTTTTAATATTTAATACTGCACTCTTGAATGAAAACTGAATCTGACACCAGTTGTTTCACATGCACCTCCCCACCCCTCCCAAAAAAAGGAAAATAAAGTGCCTATTGTCATTCTGTTCAACAGCATGGAGACACCAGGCTTTCAAATGAGTCTCTAGAAATCACGACGAGGCGTTGGTATGGAAGGATGCGTGCACGTCTCTGATTCTGAATACATAAGAACAATTAGAGTATCTCGTTGCAGTCAGAGAGTTAGGTGATGTCAATTAATCAAAAAATATTTGTAATTACTGTTGACTGAAAGACCTCAAAAACTTCCTGAGGTTATTTGTGCTCCCCTTACGACAATGTTTGTATTGTAAATATTTAAAATGAATGACCTGGTTTCTAGGTGTGTGTTTTTTTTTTTTTTGCTTTTTTTCTGAGTGATTGTATAAGGTTTTATTATTTTACTAACTTTTTAATAACTGAAATCCTCAATCTGTTTTTATACTTTTGACTTTAATTGAACAGAATGTAAAAAAACCCCACTATGATATGTAAAAAACATATTTTGACAGAGATTTCTTAACCTTATTGCAAAACTTAAGCAGATTTACATCTATTAATATATGCATAATTAGATAATGTCCCTGCCACTTTCATTATTTTAAAAATGTAACACCGCCAAGCATCAATTTCTGTCTTAGGTTTTAAAATATTACACTGCTTCCTTATGAGCTCTGTAACCTGAGCATCTCTGCTGCAATGTTTCCCACTGTTGCATAAAACAAGCTATTTTCTTATTTCGCAGGGTGCGCCGGCAAATTTTAACATCAAACATTGCCTGTTTGAGATATTGTTGGGATACTGAAACACTGATGGTCGAACCCAGAAATCCATAAACATTCACACAAATATTGCATCCTGTTCAAGTTATCTACAGTAAGACTAAGACGCCGCAGCACAGATTTGCAAGGTTGAATTTCAAATGACTCCAAACAAATAAGCAGTTTGAGCTCTCCTTCGACTTTATAATAATGTCTGAGGGAGGTTAATATATAAATAACCAAACAATGCCTCTAAGTTTCTGCTTCTGAGATCGTTGCTTTTGAAGTTGGACAAAATGTAATACATCTGAGTCCCTTTTCTTCTTTAGCTCTCATCATATGTTTCCATCTGTCTGTTCCCACCACTCTTCATCTCAACTGATCCTTCTGTTCTTCTCAAACTCTTAAAGTTGTGCTCATAATTTTGGGAAATGCAATTGATGTGTTTTTATTACTTTATCTTCCAGCACTTCGATTAAACTAATAATATAGCAGCTATTAATTTTCCATTTCCTCTAACAACACAGCTCCCCAGTTTAAGGAGGAATCAACAAATCTCTTCTGCATATCATTATTAAATCATAATGTGCCAAAGCAACTCTTGTCTTCATGAAAAGATTACCCTTGGTGGAAAAAAACATCTCAAAAGTACTAAAAGCCAGACAATTTGGATAACTGTGGTTTACTGTTACAGTCAACCATAATTTAGCCTTTCACAAAAGAAAAAAAAAAAGAGAGAGAGTTCACTTTCCAAAGTGACATCTTTACCATGTCAACCATACATTTATAAATGTAACAATTCCAAACTTAATATTTATTTCACAAGTTAAATAGTTACAAACTAAATATTTAGGTCTCTATGTAGCTCCTCTTCAAGAGCAATCTTCTCAAAAAGAGAATATTTTTCCTGAACTAAGAAAGTCCTTTTACAACTTCTGACTCAACAACATCTTGTCTGGTATTATTTCTCTCTCTCTCGGTTGATCTCCTTTCTTGTCTTTTACAAATGTGTGCATAGTGCCAGGTGCTGTGCAAAAGATCCTTCTTGAATCCTCATTTTCTTGGCAAACATAGACTTTCAGAACATTTAAGTAAATGTTCTGAAAGTATGCTCAGTCCTAGTGACCCTAATGCTGAGCAAAGCTCGATATGCAATGATCCAAAGAGACGCACAACATGGGGGATTTGTTTTCTATCATAAATTTGAATACATCTTGAATGTAATAAGGATTTTATTTTATACAGAGTCAGAAAACTGATGTTCTAAATTGCCAATTATACTAAGAGCTAAATTTGTCTAACACCATGATTCAATTAACCCAAATGAAAGCTCCCGAAACAATTAGGTTTCAATCACTATCCAATGCTCTTAAATACAGAACCAATTCAATATGGACAGTCAAATGACCTCCATTTGTTTTCTCAATTAGTTTATGGTAAGAAAGCTAATATATTTTATCCAGTTCTGTTATGCAATGTGGCCCCACACAAATCTGAGTTACCTTTCTGAAATCTGCAATAATTCATATTGTTAGCTCCCTAAATGCAGTTTTTAAATAATCAATCTTCCTGCATAGCTGGCCAATTGGCTACACTGTTGCCTTGTAGCAAAAGAGGTCCTGGGTTCAAACCCTGGCCTGGGGACTTTCTGTATGGAGTTTGCATGTTCTACTGGCACCTATGTGACTGTGGGATAGGGACCAGCTGTCCTACGACCCAGAGGGGATGAGCAGGTATAGATAATGGATGAAAGGATGGAAGGTTGCTGAACACAAACACAAATATAGTTTGGATATCTAATGTTTGCTTTTTTCGGCCTGAACAAAGTAAAAAAAAAAAAACATTTGGGATTTAAACTGACCACACTATTGTGAAAAAGAGGATCCAGAAACATTGACCACTGCTTATGAACTCCAGCTGATGGTTATGGTGACTTTAATCTATACCTCAGTGGGTGTTATGCTGCTGTAAGTACTGACTACTCTAAAGATAAATTAATTTTCTCTCAATCCTTTGTTTTACTCGTATCAGAAAGGCAAAGGAAACCTATATAAGACTGAAACCCAGTCAACTCTATCATAACAACACATTTTGGGGGTTCCTAAACAGACAGTTCCCTATCCTTGACTATTCCAGATTACCCTTTTTTTTCCCCATAAACACCACATAAATATTTTAAGGTACAACTTCAGCCATAAAAATAAATATTGAAGCTCTATTCCCTATTTATTTTAATCTTTATAATTTAACTAATAATTGATAAAACAAGGATTAAGAAAAACATACTCATACTCACTTATTCCCATTAGGTCATGAACACCAAAACACACAAATAAATTTACATGGACAGGAACACAGGCAGGGGATGATTGTGAGTCTCTTATTTTCTAATCCATATTTGTTGTCATGTATTGCAAGTAGCACACGACTCACCATGTGATAAAAGACTGCATCTATAGGAAAATGTCAGATTTATGAAGGAATCAAGCGTGTTTGTAACCACTGTAACTTTTGAAGTATTCCAAGAAAATCTACACGTTTTCTCAAATTAAATGTAAAAATTTAAAACTGTAAATGCAGTCCTCCTCCTCGGTTATAAGAACCCGATAGACTTCTATTGATCTGGTCAGTGGGAGCATTCGGACGTAGATGACGCTTTTATGTGGTGCTTAATGTGCCTAATGCCTATATCTTCTGGCCAGTCTTACCATTCTATTACCTCTGTCCTTTCTTTTATTTCGCTCATTTATTTCCTTTCTCTCTCTTTCTTTTCTGCTTAGAACTAATCAGGAATGCCCAGAGAAGCCATCGCCTGCAGGCCATTGGTCAGAAAGTGAGAAAGACCCTGACAGAGATGTCCACTCAGAGTTGACTAAACTTCGAAGGAGATCAATAATGAAAGAATCCCCAGAGTTTATTGGATATTGAATTCCTGTCAACAACTTCTATACGGAGCTCTTTTCTTCTGCCACTGCAACACTCGGATTTATTTTGGTAAACAAAAGCTGGAACGTCTTTCCTTTCTGTTGGATATAACCTTGCAGAGGCTGGCTGATGTCATCGCTTGCCTCCATCCCTTTCAGCTCCTCTGGGGGCTGAGCCAACCTACAGAGGAGCATGGGCAGGAGAGTGGCGGATCCAACTAATCCGGTGCCTGCGCTGGGAGTTCCTCTGGCTGGGGGGCGATGGGGTCCACTTTGCAGCATTGGGGTGCAGACATCTCCCAGACTGCGGACTCTACCCTCTATCAAACGACACGGCAGCCAACAGACCACAACGCATCAGTCCCTCACCATGGCGACAGAACAAGCACTGGCAGCGGACACAGGAGGAGCTATCAGAAGTGACAGCAAGAGCCTGCCGGTGTCCAAAGAGACGTCTCAGAACGAAATCAACAGCCTTACGCAGGACGACATGGGGTCACAAGGGTCGGGCAGTGGAGTTTATTGCCAGATCAGGACTATACAAACAAACCCCAAGGACAAAAAAGATAAAAGGACAACTCGGTATATAAATGGGAGTGTCGTAGCCTCAGATTTGGTGGAAGGAGTTTGCAGTGAATCAACAGAAAGCAAGGAGCCAACCCAGGAAAAGAGAAGGGTGCAATCTCTGCGAGGGGAAGGCCACCGCTCGGTGTTAAAGACAGCAAGTGTTTGTTCAGCTGCACACGCCACCACCACACCTCGGCCCTGTCGGACAATGGCAACCTCACCGCAACGTCTTTGTGTGACGTGTGGGAGGAGACGGTCGCAGATTACGCAGTGCACAGGTGCATGTCGCAGGAGAGCAGTCAATCAAATAACGGCAAGTCAAACTTTACCTAATCCACCACGGAAAACATCTGTAGCCCCCGCCCAGTCGAGAAAAGCCTCTGCTGCTCTGAGTTCTCAGTCTTGCTCCAAAAGCACAGACAGAGCCAACCCACTGCAGGCCACATCAGGAAAGGCTTCTCAAATACCCCAGCTGTCCCACACCATGCCAAAAACACACAGTTCACAGTTCAACCACACAGCACATACTCATAACCAAACAAAAGACTCAAAGCTGCAGACAAGGCCACATTCAGCAGACTTTACCTGTTATAAGGACTCAGCCACGCAAACATCAGAAACACACACACACTCCAACACAGACAGAACGACAGCACTCACACAAAACGCAGAGGCGAGCCGACCTCATCCAACAAACAAACAAAATCACAATCAGGGTCAAATCCAGAAAATTGATGAATCAGTCTGCAACATTTCTAAGTCTCAAATGCCTTCCCCTCTCAGTGACTCAAAATCCAGCAGCACCCCACCACTCCCACCAAAACACTCTTCTATGGCGGCCCATTCTAAACCGACCACACCTGCAGCACACACCAAAAACGAAGAGGCCACGAAGTCACCCAAGCAATCCACGGATCGTGCGAAACTCAAGGACACAAGGCTGAAGAGCAAATCGTTTGACGACAACACTCTGCCTTGTAAGACTCACATGAAAGCACAATGTAATGGGGCACCAGGGGGACTTGTAGATGGACAGGCAGTGAATGTGCCACCTGGGCTGGAGAGGCAGCTACAAAACGTGGAAGAGAACCTTCTGTCCAATCAGGAGAAGATTAAAGTGCTGCTCAATGTGATTCAAGACCTGGAGAAGAGCAAAGCTTTAAGCGAAGGGTGAGTGGAATGAGGCTTTAAAAATACACAGCAAGGAGAAGGGGGAGATAAGGAAAATAAAAAAAANGTTGTTTCACATGCACCTCCCCACCCCTCCCAAAAAAAGGAAAATAAAGTGCCTATTGTCATTCTGTTCAACAGCATGGAGACACCAGGCTTTCAAATGAGTCTCTAGAAATCACGACGAGGCGTTGGTATGGAAGGATGCGTGCACGTCTCTGATTCTGAATACATAAGAACAATTAGAGTATCTCGTTGCAGTCAGAGAGTTAGGTGATGTCAATTAATCAAAAAATATTTGTAATTACTGTTGACTGAAAGACCTCAAAAACTTCCTGAGGTTATTTGTGCTCCCCTTACGACAATGTTTGTATTGTAAATATTTAAAATGAATGACCTGGTTTCTAGGTGTGTGTTTTTTTTTTTTTTGCTTTTTTTCTGAGTGATTGTATAAGGTTTTATTATTTTACTAACTTTTTAATAACTGAAATCCTCAATCTGTTTTTATACTTTTGACTTTAATTGAACAGAATGTAAAAAAACCCCACTATGATATGTAAAAAACATATTTTGACAGAGATTTCTTAACCTTATTGCAAAACTTAAGCAGATTTACATCTATTAATATATGCATAATTAGATAATGTCCCTGCCACTTTCATTATTTTAAAAATGTAACACCGCCAAGCATCAATTTCTGTCTTAGGTTTTAAAATATTACACTGCTTCCTTATGAGCTCTGTAACCTGAGCATCTCTGCTGCAATGTTTCCCACTGTTGCATAAAACAAGCTATTTTCTTATTTCGCAGGGTGCGCCGGCAAATTTTAACATCAAACATTGCCTGTTTGAGATATTGTTGGGATACTGAAACACTGATGGTCGAACCCAGAAATCCATAAACATTCACACAAATATTGCATCCTGTTCAAGTTATCTACAGTAAGACTAAGACGCCGCAGCACAGATTTGCAAGGTTGAATTTCAAATGACTCCAAACAAATAAGCAGTTTGAGCTCTCCTTCGACTTTATAATAATGTCTGAGGGAGGTTAATATATAAATAACCAAACAATGCCTCTAAGTTTCTGCTTCTGAGATCGTTGCTTTTGAAGTTGGACAAAATGTAATACATCTGAGTCCCTTTTCTTCTTTAGCTCTCATCATATGTTTCCATCTGTCTGTTCCCACCACTCTTCATCTCAACTGATCCTTCTGTTCTTCTCAAACTCTTAAAGTTGTGCTCATAATTTTGGGAAATGCAATTGATGTGTTTTTATTACTTTATCTTCCAGCACTTCGATTAAACTAATAATATAGCAGCTATTAATTTTCCATTTCCTCTAACAACACAGCTCCCCAGTTTAAGGAGGAATCAACAAATCTCTTCTGCATATCATTATTAAATCATAATGTGCCAAAGCAACTCTTGTCTTCATGAAAAGATTACCCTTGGTGGAAAAAAACATCTCAAAAGTACTAAAAGCCAGACAATTTGGATAACTGTGGTTTACTGTTACAGTCAACCATAATTTAGCCTTTCACAAAAGAAAAAAAAAAAGAGAGAGAGTTCACTTTCCAAAGTGACATCTTTACCATGTCAACCATACATTTATAAATGTAACAATTCCAAACTTAATATTTATTTCACAAGTTAAATAGTTACAAACTAAATATTTAGGTCTCTATGTAGCTCCTCTTCAAGAGCAATCTTCTCAAAAAGAGAATATTTTTCCTGAACTAAGAAAGTCCTTTTACAACTTCTGACTCAACAACATCTTGTCTGGTATTATTTCTCTCTCTCTCGGTTGATCTCCTTTCTTGTCTTTTACAAATGTGTGCATAGTGCCAGGTGCTGTGCAAAAGATCCTTCTTGAATCCTCATTTTCTTGGCAAACATAGACTTTCAGAACATTTAAGTAAATGTTCTGAAAGTATGCTCAGTCCTAGTGACCCTAATGCTGAGCAAAGCTCGATATGCAATGATCCAAAGAGACGCACAACATGGGGGATTTGTTTTCTATCATAAATTTGAATACATCTTGAATGTAATAAGGATTTTATTTTATACAGAGTCAGAAAACTGATGTTCTAAATTGCCAATTATACTAAGAGCTAAATTTGTCTAACACCATGATTCAATTAACCCAAATGAAAGCTCCCGAAACAATTAGGTTTCAATCACTATCCAATGCTCTTAAATACAGAACCAATTCAATATGGACAGTCAAATGACCTCCATTTGTTTTCTCAATTAGTTTATGGTAAGAAAGCTAATATATTTTATCCAGTTCTGTTATGCAATGTGGCCCCACACAAATCTGAGTTACCTTTCTGAAATCTGCAATAATTCATATTGTTAGCTCCCTAAATGCAGTTTTTAAATAATCAATCTTCCTGCATAGCTGGCCAATTGGCTACACTGTTGCCTTGTAGCAAAAGAGGTCCTGGGTTCAAACCCTGGCCTGGGGACTTTCTGTATGGAGTTTGCATGTTCTACTGGCACCTATGTGACTGTGGGATAGGGACCAGCTGTCCTACGACCCAGAGGGGATGAGCAGGTATAGATAATGGATGAAAGGATGGAAGGTTGCTGAACACAAACACAAATATAGTTTGGATATCTAATGTTTGCTTTTTTCGGCCTGAACAAAGTAAAAAAAAAAAAACATTTGGGATTTAAACTGACCACACTATTGTGAAAAAGAGGATCCAGAAACATTGACCACTGCTTATGAACTCCAGCTGATGGTTATGGTGACTTTAATCTATACCTCAGTGGGTGTTATGCTGCTGTAAGTACTGACTACTCTAAAGATAAATTAATTTTCTCTCAATCCTTTGTTTTACTCGTATCAGAAAGGCAAAGGAAACCTATATAAGACTGAAACCCAGTCAACTCTATCATAACAACACATTTTGGGGGTTCCTAAACAGACAGTTCCCTATCCTTGACTATTCCAGATTACCCTTTTTTTTCCCCATAAACACCACATAAATATTTTAAGGTACAACTTCAGCCATAAAAATAAATATTGAAGCTCTATTCCCTATTTATTTTAATCTTTATAATTTAACTAATAATTGATAAAACAAGGATTAAGAAAAACATACTCATACTCACTTATTCCCATTAGGTCATGAACACCAAAACACACAAATAAATTTACATGGACAGGAACACAGGCAGGGGATGATTGTGAGTCTCTTATTTTCTAATCCATATTTGTTGTCATGTATTGCAAGTAGCACACGACTCACCATGTGATAAAAGACTGCATCTATAGGAAAATGTCAGATTTATGAAGGAATCAAGCGTGTTTGTAACCACTGTAACTTTTGAAGTATTCCAAGAAAATCTACACGTTTTCTCAAATTAAATGTAAAAATTTAAAACTGTAAATGCAGTCCTCCTCCTCGGTTATAAGAACCCGATAGACTTCTATTGATCTGGTCAGTGGGAGCATTCGGACGTAGATGACGCTTTTATGTGGTGCTTAATGTGCCTAATGCCTATATCTTCTGGCCAGTCTTACCATTCTATTACCTCTGTCCTTTCTTTTATTTCGCTCATTTATTTCCCTTCTCTCTCTCTTTCTCTCTCTTTCTTTTCTGCTTAGAACTAATCAGGAATGCCCAGAGAAGCCATCGCCTGCAGGCCATTGGTCAGAAAGTGAGAAAGACCCTGACAGAGATGTCCACTCAGAGTTGACTAAACTTCGAAGGAGATCAATAATGAAAGAATCCCCAGAGTTTATTGGATATTGAATTCCTGTCAACAACTTCTATACGGAGCTCTTTTCTTCTGCCACTGCAACACTCGGATTTATTTTGGTAAACAAAAGCTGGAACGTCTTTCCTTTCTGTTGGATATAACCTTGCAGAGGCTGGCTGATGTCATCGCTTGCCTCCATCCCTTTCAGCTCCTCTGGGGGCTGAGCCAACCTACAGAGGAGCATGGGCAGGAGAGTGGCGGATCCAACTAATCCGGTGCCTGCGCTGGGAGTTCCTCTGGCTGGGGGGCGATGGGGTCCACTTTGCAGCATTGGGGTGCAGACATCTCCCAGACTGCGGACTCTACCCTCTATCAAACGACACGGCAGCCAACAGACCACAACGCATCAGTCCCTCACCATGGCGACAGAACAAGCACTGGCAGCGGACACAGGAGGAGCTATCAGAAGTGACAGCAAGAGCCTGCCGGTGTCCAAAGAGACGTCTCAGAACGAAATCAACAGCCTTACGCAGGACGACATGGGGTCACAAGGGTCGGGCAGTGGAGTTTATTGCCAGATCAGGACTATACAAACAAACCCCAAGGACAAAAAAGATAAAAGGACAACTCGGTATATAAATGGGAGTGTCGTAGCCTCAGATTTGGTGGAAGGAGTTTGCAGTGAATCAACAGAAAGCAAGGAGCCAACCCAGGAAAAGAGAAGGGTGCAATCTCTGCGAGGGGAAGGCCACCGCTCGGTGTTAAAGACAGCAAGTGTTTGTTCAGCTGCACACGCCACCACCACACCTCGGCCCTGTCGGACAATGGCAACCTCACCGCAACGTCTTTGTGTGACGTGTGGGAGGAGACGGTCGCAGATTACGCAGTGCACAGGTGCATGTCGCAGGAGAGCAGTCAATCAAATAACGGCAAGTCAAACTTTACCTAATCCACCACGGAAAACATCTGTAGCCCCCGCCCAGTCGAGAAAAGCCTCTGCTGCTCTGAGTTCTCAGTCTTGCTCCAAAAGCACAGACAGAGCCAACCCACTGCAGGCCACATCAGGAAAGGCTTCTCAAATACCCCAGCTGTCCCACACCATGCCAAAAACACACAGTTCACAGTTCAACCACACAGCACATACTCATAACCAAACAAAAGACTCAAAGCTGCAGACAAGGCCACATTCAGCAGACTTTACCTGTTATAAGGACTCAGCCACGCAAACATCAGAAACACACACACACTCCAACACAGACAGAACGACAGCACTCACACAAAACGCAGAGGCGAGCCGACCTCATCCAACAAACAAACAA